CCCTGACATCTACTCCTAATTAATTCCCATCTACCCGTAGGAAACCATGTTTTACCACGTTAAACCCCATCTCCTCTAAGTTAACATTGTTAGAACTTACAGCGAAATTGTGCAGTGTGGAAATGTTTTCCGGAGAGGGTTCTACATTTGTTAGAGTAATAACTTTCATCACACTTCCTGACAAAACTGACTCCTAATTCGTCCATGGTCCACGTATTTGCGGAATTTCTGCCGACGATAAGAACTCAGAGCCCTTCAACCTTTGGTAGATATCGGGTGATCTTTCCCTCTTCACCCCTGACGGTCTTGAGGAAGGGCGAGAACGGACACCGTGCATATTTTCGCAAATCACATAGGAGCATAAAGAGGAGCATCCCTGTTCATGTTCCAGGCAAGGGCACCAAGACTTGATTACTCCGTCCCTGCAGGCTGCATATTGAGTGGCATCGCCTCCCTTCTAGATAACAAAACCTTGCAATACTTGACGTGGAACTTTACTTTGTCGTGATACCTGTGGTGTTTCTCTCTTGAGCAAACAAACCACACCAATGCTCGACATGTTATAGGGATCGTTAAGGACCCCATCAACCTTCCCAAGGTCTCTTAGCCAAAACCTCTGCGAGATACACCTGAGTACAGTATCGTTTTTCCTGGCCAAATTTCTGGTCGCTTATACTGTCAATCAAATCCCAAATAATCTAAAACTTATGAACCTCGTAGTAGATGATTACTTTCAATAATTTCTAAAGTACTTGACGATAAATGAGCGACCTTACTGTGACATGGGAGACGCAACGAACTGTCAGTGGGTGAAAACGATAAAATTTAGTTTAAAGGAACCGCATGGATGAAGTACAGCTTAAAACTAGCCAGGGAGCTTAACTCCTACATTTCTGATAAGGAATCAAATGAAAAACTGCATTTCGTTATTGCTATCTCTAAGAATATCTTGTTGACAATATCCCAAACGTGTCATGCTGTCCGTTTCATGCGATGATATTCTTGTTGGTGATAGTTAAACATATAGCTTTGCTTTTTCCTAGCTATCATAAGAGCAGGTTGAGAGCAAGCCTTTAAACCCGTAACACCCTAATTTTTCTAGCAAAACTTGTCACGGCCAATCATATCAAGCACCCTCTTTACTTCGATAAATAAGATTCCAATAATCATATCGTTAACAAGAGTGAAATCCTTAGCTAAGGGTAGATGTGGATTAACATGGTAAAACACGGTTATCTTAGGGAAGATGTTGGCTAATGAGGTAGAACATGGTTAGCTAAGGGTACATGATTAACGTGAAGATCGCTTTTATGTTCACATGGTCAACTTGGAGTAGATATGAGTAAACGTGGTGCAGTGTGGTTAACTTGGGGAAAATGTGGGTTAATGTGGTAGAACATGGTTAACTTAGGGTAAATGGAGGTTTACGTGGTAAAACATGCTTAACTTAGGAAAGATGCGGGTTAATGTGGTAGAACATGGTTAGGGTAGATGGAGGTTTACGTGGTAAAACATGGTTAACTTAGGAAAAGTGTGGGTTAATATGGTAGAACAAGGTTAACTTAGGGTAAATGTGGTTTGGCGTGGTTGAACATGGTTAACCAAGGGTAGATGGAGGTTAATGTGGTAAAACATGGTTAACTTAGGGAAGATGTGGGTTAATGTGGTAGAACATAGTTAACTTTGGGTAAATGGGGGTTAATGTTGTAGAACATGGTTAATTTAGGGTAGGTGGGGATGAACGTGCTGTAAAATGGTTAACTATGGGAAGATGGGTGCTAACGTTGTAGAAAAATGTCCAATGAAACACATTGTGAACTATACAAAAAAATTATAGTGGTGGATGGAATCTAATGCTGACCTGTTACGGACCTTACATGGACGATTGCAAATGAAAAAATAATTCAATGAACATTAGGGGACTCCCCTGGTCGGTTGAAGCATGATGGGATAAAAAAAGGGCGGAGGGGTTCATCATACACCAAGCCTGACGCATCTCCCGTATAAAATTTTGTCAGACATCCTTTACATAGTTCGCTGGTGATACAAACCTATGTGCAATCGTGACAGTGTCTAATGTGTCTGCAATTAATTTATGACAATACATCAGCCAACAGTTGTTTAAAACTAAAACCCCGCAAGGCATCCCTACGCGAAGTGCGTTCTTGATTACACGATAAAATGATTTGCTGCGCCGGAGAAATTTCCTCACAAAAAATGTGGGGGGAAGGGAGGACCGATAGCCGTTCCCCCCTTGCTTCACCACAATAATGCATGCTATTTAACGCACAAATTTCAAAGAACAGCTGGTCTTAACGCCCATGACGTTGCATTTTGGCAGGTTGCTACGTGTATCTCTGCTTTCACTTCCAAATTAATTATTTCTTGCTTTGAAAACAATGGGACCACAAACTAAGGTTTCACTTTGAAATAAAAATTGGGTCTGTGTGTAATTACTGATCATGTATCACGAAAAAGAACTCATCATGAATTAAATCATTTTTATACGCTCATTGAAATTTCATCATAGAAGGCGTTTTAATTTACAGCCAAACAGAACCAAAATGTTATATGGTTCCAATATCATGGAATCACCTACGCAAACCACAATCTAGTTTAACCATTTGTCTGTAAACTTGCCAAAGGAAGTGTTATGAGTATATATAAGATAATTAAAATCAGGAGGGACCCCAATCAAAAGACAGTAAGCAGAATACAACTCATTAATACAACATTTTTTTTTCCCCTTAACCTCAGAACCGTCATAACTTAAAACAAGGCCATATCTCTTGTCTTAACTATCCTTTGCCACTTCATTGAGTTACATTTTACAAAAATTTTCCTACTTGTTTATCACAAGTTCTCTTCTTTGTTAAACATATTTAAACTATGGAGGAAATAAATAAAAATATACCAAATGAAAAGGACACGACAAGATTCACCAGGTTAGACATTAATGATTGTTTTATAGTGAAGGTGTGATCTCCACTGCATTAAAAATGATCAACTTTTCTTCTCTCATAAGAAAATATATACCCAAGGTCAACTTTTGTTAAAAGGAAAAGGAGGAAGAAATTCCCACTCATAGGCAATATATGTGATTCCCCATTGGTATGACATGAAGTTTTACGGGTGACCCAGAATCCTTTTTCAGGGGCGTGGCTCGGGTGATTCACACCTCTGAGGTAATACTCCTTAAACAACAAAGATGGGCGTCACTTCTATTAAGCCTGATGCAGACCTTGGGGTACTGTTACTCTTGGGGAAAAAAGTCATGCCTACACAATGGACAATGTATTCTGAAAAAAAAAGAAAAATTATATATACACAAACACACGTTGAAAAGATTCCATAACTCGTAAAATTTTAAAAGTTAGATGTTTTTCACGTCGTCACGTGTGGAACAAAGAAAACAGAGAGAACATATTCATGATGACTGCCAGTGACATTTTTTACACCTTGATCAAAGCAAAGAGTATTCAAATGCTTCATAAAGTTGCATCACAAAAAAAAATGGAATGTTCAGTGTGACGCTTGCGACGAAAGAGGAAACTTCGAGGGGTGTCGCTATGCGTGTTTTCTAAGTGTCGCTGATGTGGGGACTATTTTACCGGTCGTAATGAAACCACGAAAACCAAGATGACTATCAACGGTGTTTATTTAGATCACGGTCACGATCACGATCGTAAACTGAAATTGCAATAATATTATAACGAAAGCATGAATAAAACGCTTTACGTGCCTATGTCGATAACGCGATTAAAATAACAACAATCAACGTGAATTAACATAAACAAATCATAAAAGGCTAAATTAAAACTACTCGAGATTCAAAGATCGGCTACACAATGACCATTTGCGGCTGATTAACAGCCCAAAGACTAAAATGTGGGCGTTACTTTGTGAGCGTCTAGTTATTTCAAAATACTCCTTTGATTTCAAGATAATTAGTTGTACTGTTGTACAACACAGTACATATGTGCGCTATCGCCCAAGGTGAAAAACTAAACTTAAACATATTGAAATAAAACTAACAAAATCACTTACATATCGGTCCCGCTTGTGCCAGGAACGAAAGACGAAGTTATTGCTGTTCAAGGCGAAATCTTACGAAACTCTGGCTTATAGGGACGTTAATTTAGCTTTTATATGCGCGTGGTGACGCTAAAAGATCCGATTACAAACCAATAGGGAAAAAGATAAACATTGTAACTACGCACACAAATTAAAGTAATTGACAATTGATCTACTAAAAAAAAAGGCTGTTCTTTGTTCGATATCCTTAACATTCAGATTACCAGCCCACTACCATTACCGGAGTCACTAAAGTAATATACAGTTAGAGTATCTTCTACGGAATATAGCACTAGTGACAGTGAAAATGGTCATAAGATGTTTAAAAATTGTATGGAGGCCCTTTACAATATCAATTTCCTTGTGGTACTTAATAAGTTAGATGCAGAATTTGAAGTGTCAAAGCACAGTTACAGAGCCTAGTGGCAGTAAGACGTTGGAGCAGGAGTGACTACTAAATGGCACGCTGCAGTTTTGCCATTTAGTTATGCTGCAATACAGCAAGAAATCTGCATGATGAAATAGTAGCCCCCCATAGAGAAAGCCCTTTCCTCTTGACTAAAATAACTTAATAAGTTTCCCAGTGCTAACTAAAGCTTAACAATGTGTAACTGTATATTAGACACTTAAAAGTTGTGCCAAGTCAGCCTGACAATACAATCCATGTAAAGCTTACGTGAGCATGACAAATTGACAAATACTAAATGCATCCTGAAAATAAACATAGCTATAACTTCGATTTAAATTAAGCCCTTTGGGTACATTTATTTGGTCCTAGTCAAAGAACAACCAGTTAAATTATGAATCACTACTATCCCAGTCAATGTCAGTTTTCATAATAAAGGAATCAAAGTAAAAATTACTTTTGTTTGACCAACTTCACACCATATCCTCATTGGGGAGGTAGGTGGTTGGGGGGGGGGGGGTTCAAGGGGGCAAAGAACAGTTATCAAGGACTTTGGAAGTTGAGTTAACTAATAGTATACATTCTGACTGGAAAATTGGTAGAAAGTGTAGGTTAAAGGCCTGAGGGTTAGGGACTAAGGTTGAAATGGATGTCCTCAAGACTCATCACTTTTTGCTTAGTAATAACTACAAAATTACTATTTGGCAGATGCAGCACTCATCAAGGCCAGTCTGTGCTCTAAGCATGCATGGTCCACTGGAAGACACACAAATCAAACATAGTTACTGGCAACACACAACATGAAGTTTTGAGCACCAACCTCTAGTTACCAATAAATTATGTTACAGTATACACCATGCAATCTAGTCATATGCAGTAAAACCAAGTCAACTGCATGATTCAGGTGATTTAGAATCTTGAGTATAGGGAGGCAATGTGAGAGTAGGTGTCTTGCCAGAGAACAATATACAATGATCTGTCCTGAACTCAAAAAAATGAGAAGTGTGTTAACAAGTATGCCATGACATCTTCCACTGGTCTCCTGCACGGCCGTTGATTTGGTCTCGTTAACCCTTTAACTCCCATGAGTGACCAAGACAGAATTTCTCAATACAATATCAAGCAGATAATTGATGAGAATAAGGAAAATTACTAATGAGATCTTGGGAGTTAAAGGGTTAAATATACTTTTACTACATAAGCTCTTCGCTAAATTTCTAAGGGAACTTATACTTTGCAGGAAATGTATAGAATAATGAAGTAAAAGTAAATAGTTCCTTTGGTAGAACAAGACAAGCTGGCCAAGTGAGTTTCACAAGGTTACACAATTAATCAAATCCTTGCTTTATAGTGAAGGTGAGATCTCCACCACATAAGAGTTGTCACCTCTGCCTATGTCATCTTAATTGATAATTGCCAATAACAATTAAAATACAATATGCTTTGCCAGTCTTTTTTAAGGAAGGGGGAGATTCCTATACAAAAGCAATGGATGTGATTGACTGTTTATGTCAAAGAAACCTCAAAAAGGAACCAAAATCTTGTTTTGCAGGCATGACTTGAGTGATTCACTCATTGGAAGTAATACTACTTGAACAACCTTGGACTACACCTTGGAGCACAATTACCTTGGTGGAAAAATACACCAAAGCAAGACGGGCAATGTAATCTGAAAAATAAATACACATTTACCGTTCAGACATAAATCACCTGCTTATATACAAGTTCTTTCGCAAATGACAGTGAAGATGGTCATAAAAGATTTTACAATGGTTAAGCATCTACTGTAATTTAAATATGAAGTGAATCAGCATGATTTTTAACAGAGACTGCATGGTGACCAACAGAAAGAGAACACTAAAGTAACTACAAAATAGAATGAATTGTAACACACTTACATATTGTGTTGTATAAGCCAAAAAGTACACTTCATGTGAGCCCTGTGTGAGCATGGCAAAATGAGTAAACCGCTAGACAAATCCTGCAAATATAGAGGTTCAATTTAAGAGTGTTGTTCTCATGTAAAAAAGGTATCTCCAGTTACAAGCAATAGGTAACTAATGGTATGGTGAACTAATATCTTTTAGGTAAGTCAATCTCAATGGAAGCATACAAAACTTGAATTTTATTCTTTGTCACATTTTAAGGATCATTACTTTCCACTTCCACTTTATGAAAATAACCCTGACACTCCAGGAAGTTAATTCTCAAGAAGAGGGGGAAAGAAGAATATCAACAAATGGATTTTTTGTTAAACCTAACAACATATTCTTAAAGCCAAAATGTTCAGAGATCTATGGCAGACAGTATAGATAAATAATATCTATATCTCAGGAGTGGAACAGATAACCCTTTTACTAAGGTAGATTTTTAGGCTACAGTAGAGTAGAGCCATACCTATTGAAACTTATGGGTAAGGAAAGAGGGAAGGGGGGCAAGAGTTACATGTACATAATAGTGCATGGATGGAAAATTGGAAGAAACTACAGGTTAACACCATGCCATTCAGAGACTAAGGTTCTATTGAATTTCCACTAAGTTTATTAATTGTCACTGTATGCTTAATAACAACAATGAAATTACCATGTGGCAGATGCAGCACTCATCGTGGCAACTCTGAACCCTGGGTTGTCCTCTGGAGACAAGATAAATCAAAGATACCACATGAATTCATGAACACCAACCTCTAATTACCAATGAGTTATTTACTGATGACATTAACATTCCCACTCAGAGTCAAAGCGGGTCAACTACATTCTCATAAAATGCAGTTTGCCAGTAATGATTTCACTGACTTGGAATCTTGTAGAAAGAGGCAGTGTGGGAGTAAGCGCCTTGCCCAAGAATATCAAAAAAAGTCTCAGCTAAGGGTCAATCCATACATCATGAAAATGAGAACAAGTGTACTGACCAGCATGCCACTACATCTCCCAAGATTATTCTTTCCTGGTTTATTGTGTATCTTTTGGCATCAAAATGGAATCAAGTTCAAAAGTACACATGGGCAGGGAGAATAGAAATCTGATGCATTTTGCTGCTGATTTATACTTACAGATAACGATACTTGTGACAAGTTGTACAGACTGCAGGGCTAGCATCTTGGTCATACTATCAAAGAAAACCCATAACATAAAAATTACAAAAAATAATTCAGGATTTACTTCAGAAGCTAGCTTTTGCAAAGAACAAGACTAACCATTTTCAAAATTGCTTTGTCAAACAATTAATGAGATCTAGGGCAGATCATGGGACTACACAAAAAATCCCTTGTTCTACTAGACAATCTTTGAGGGAACCCTCAACAAGTAATAAACAGAACTAACCTTAACCAAAAAAAGAAAGAAAACAGAATGGATATTAGGATATTAGCACTTCAAATACTTATGAAATGTTTATCTTTTTATGGATGACCTATCACATAATAGAACAAGATCTTCGAGCACCCAGCTAAGTTCTCTTGTTACTGCATGATTTGTTCTTTGACACTTGATAACATTCCTAAAAACAGTTCTGGCATTCATGGTTTTCTGAGCTTCCCAAGCAAATTTTGGTTACTAAATGACTGACAGAAATTGCAATTTAATAACCAACTGCACAAAACGCTTACATGTACCTGAGCAGAACATGTGCACCACCATCTTCTGAACTGTGCTGAAATCCTCATCCATGCATCTCTAACGCCTTGTACAAAGGCCTGAGGGCTGTTGTGTGTGGAGTCTAATGAATCCACATTACAGGTGGTTGGCATCTCATTATACCTCTCCTGTAGGAAAACAGTAATTATGTAACCCAAACCTCCTTCAATTAGCACCCACACCTGAATTATATTCTGCAAAAAGCACTGACCCTGTTTGCTCAAAATCAAAATCTATACCCTCCCATGCGTTAGCATCTGGCCATGTTTACTATTACTAAAAATTTTAGGTAAAGAATCCACAAGTTTCAATTATAGATGACAAGTATAAATTTCATGTGATGTAATATTCAAGAAAGGACAACAAAACTACTTTGATTGCAGGTATATATGTATATATACACCCCTTTTATACACATGAAACATACATCCTTTTTTTCTCATCAAAAAGAGACACTTAGATATAAATATATACAAATATATATATACCTGTTTTAAAAAACATTGCAAATTTGAGAATATATATTAAACATATCATTATAACTCTTCTTTTCTCATTAAAAGTGTTTCTTTTTTTCATGAGAAAAGAAACAGTTTATATATTTCATACATGTTCCCAAACTACAAAGTTTTTGAAAACAGGTGTATATATTTTTCTATAATTTGTTTCGAACCTAGTAAGTTTGTACATTTCAACAAGTTTTGCAAAAGGGATCAAAGGACAAAAACCAAGAAAACACCACTGCATGGCAAACTTACTCACACTGAAAGCATTTCAATGCATTTGTTTGCATATCAACTTGGTAACCACTATACTACGACCCCAACAATCAGATCATTAGTACATCTTCACTGAAGATGAAGTTGGAAAACCTGTTGAAGCATTTGCTTGGTTACCATAAATAGGAGTACTACCTGATGAACTTACCAATAATCCTACATTTGTGGTTGAAGGTGTTTGCATTTGCAAAGGCTCTGGATGTAAAATTGATGTTGATCCAGTGAAGCCAATGTTACTCTGAGTACCAAATACGGAATGTGTCATTTGAGGTCCTGTAGTTCCCAGAAAGTCAGAGGTCAGTCCTGAACTAGTGAACCCTGACTGAAGGAAATCACTTCTTTGCAAAGATGTCAAATGCCCATTTTGGCTCATGCTAGCTCCAACATGGCTGGATGAGGGTCCAGGTGGAAGTACAGAATTACCATTGAATGTGTAATCTAAAGGGAAGCCATCTTCACCAATGTATGCTTCACTAGGCAGAGGAAATGCTGAAGAATATGGTTGGTAATATGGATCTGACATGGCAGCAGCCTGGCAGTCACCAAGGTATGGTTTTGCTTGGTTGGAGTCAATCATATTCATCATGCTATCCATATCCTCAGCCAACATCTCAGCATAGTTGTAATACAGACTTCCACAAAGAGGTTTGTCCACAGAGTGCCTTGTCAAGAATGTATTATCCACTCCCAGGACCACAGGTTCTCCAACTTGTTGAGGAACCAGGTCAACTAATGAGGACAAAAGTGAAGATGAATAAAAGGAACTGTCCCCTTTTGGGGTTCTGTCTCTTGGTCTGGCCCCTAAATGCTCCCATTTAATTGATTCACTACTCATGTAAGAATCAGACTGATCTACACCTGACTCTTTTTTGGCAGTGATCCTTACACGTGAAACATTTTGCTTCAGAGTTGCATTCTTTGGTCTAGCCCCTTCACACTCCCATGTATTTAACTGACTGCTTGTGCAAGAATCCAATGGAACAAGGACTGCACCTTTTTGAGCAGTAGTTGTTGCACATGATACACTTTGCTTCTGAGGCATGCCTTCAGGTGGAAGCAAATCTTGACTCACACCAGATACATTTTTAAGCTTTACACTATCTTGTGCTCTACTTGAAGTATAATCTACTATCTACAACATACACAGCATTACAGTGCTGAATCAGATAGGAAGCATTAACTGCACCATCACAGATGCTAGTAGAGTTACCAGAGCCTTCTTTTCCTCCTTCTTCCTTGGAAGCACACCCTTGTTCCTCTTCTTCACTTTCAAAACATTCACTTGTCAGTAATAAAGGCATAGACCTTTCTTCCTTCTCCTCTCCACCACTTGTGGTATCATATGCACTTTCACCAGAATTTTTCCATGCCTTCAAAGCAGGATGATCAGGATTTAATCCAGTTATTATTTCAGCAGAGTGCAAATCTTTGGTCAAAGATTGCACATTAACAGCAGAGCTGGATGAAGACTGTGAACAGCTTGAAGCAAAACCACACCTCCCACTTGATGAGTCAGCTTTGTAAATATCTGCAAAAGAATTTGAACAGTGTGTGCATTTTGAGTAAAGGAGCCAAAAAAACATGTGTTAACTTAAAACTAAACAAAAAATTAAGTGCAAACCTTTTATATCCTGATAAATCTAGACCCTTTTAATTGGCGCAAGATACTTACCCCAATGCGGCAATCTGATTGGTGCAATGTAGATACCTCAATGCAGCAATCTGATTGGTGCAAGACATACCCTAAAGCAGCAATCTGATTGGTGCAAGCAATATACCACTATATGCTAACATAGTTATTATAATTATATTTCGAATAACTTAGAAACCGATCTACATGTACTGTATTTACTTGTGCATAAGTTGACCACCCATTTTCAACGTCACAAATCAGATTTTTAATCATTTCTAGTCAAAGAAGTAAAATTCAGAGAGAGCAAAATGTAACTGTGTGCTATGAAGTTTATTAGCACTTGTTTATATCACCACAATGTAAGCATACATAAGCACTTCAATTAACTGGAAAAGTATTTTACCATATATTGTGAATCACATTGAAAATGAAATATTCTTGCCTTTAACTAACATTTATCTTAAAGTTGAGTTTGAAAGGAGATTAAGTAGACCAAAGAAACACTGAAGAGCTTCAAAGGATCTTGCATGACAGACAAGACTGCATGAGACAACAGCATTCACCAGGTCACTAAGCTACTGAAATTGTTTGATGAAGGTGAAAGTTCAGCACTGTAAACAGCAGCAAAGCTGTCAGAAAAATTCTGCTCTACAGTCCGAAGACACAATAGAAATCAGCTCAAGTAGCTTTATGTTAAGCCACTTAAAATTTATTTCAAACTATTTTTGTTGACAAAGAATGTCCTGAAGTGACGAAACTCTAACACAATTATAACTGGTTTTATAAACTTGGTTTTCTTAATGGAGAAAGTCAAGTCTTTGTGAATGACTCCTGTATAAGTCAAGAATGATTTTTTGGGATTATTTTTTGGTCATAAAAGGTTGACTTGTACACAAGTAAATAAGGTACTCTCTATATTCACAACAACCAACCCAAGAGTTTCTAAGAACATGCAGATATAATGAATCTTTTTTAGCAACAACACAGTACTCAAGCCTTTCTGTACTTTCTATAAGCACTTACTGTACACAAAGTTTCTCCTACATAAATATACTTTATACCTGAATTGTTGCAAGGACCTGCTTTATCAAGTTGTTCCCCATCCAAACCAGTAACATGAAAAGAGGCACCACTGGCTGCATTAGGCATAATCTGCTCATGACAATGTTCGGTAAATGGCTGATAAAGCTTACTTTGACGTTTATTTTTGTCTTCAAGAAATAGCTGTCTTCCCACCTCAGATTCAAGTCCTTGTTTTTCCTCTTCAATTTGAGTCAAATTCTCTTTCAACTGAGCCATTTCCTTCTCTTGATTAAGACAACGATCCACATAGAATATATTCTCAGCTTGTAACTGATCTAGTTTATGGAGAAGATCCTGACTTTTATCTTGATTTTCCTTTGACAGTAAACCTTCTTCATTGCTTGACATCTCATCAGAGTCAGCCTGTAACTTTGCTGAACTATCAGATAAAGGTCCATTGAATGTGTAATCTAAAGGGAAGCCATCTTCACCAATGTATGCTTCACCACTGGCTGCATTAGGCATAATCTGCTCATGACAATGTTCGGTAAATGGCTGATAAAGCTTACTTTGACGTTTATTTTTGTCTTCAAGAAATAGCTGTCTTCCCACCTCAGATTCAAGTCCTTGTTTTTCCTCTTCCATTTGAGTCAAATTCTCTTTCAACTGAGTTATTTTCTCCTCCTGTTTAAGACAACGATCCAGATAGAACATATTCTCAACTTGTAACTGACCTAGTCTATGAAGAAGATCTTCAATTTTATCTTGCAACTGCCTAACATTAATTACATTTCTCTGATGGCAAGCACATATACAATTTGGCTGTTTACTTTGTTTGAACTCTTGGTCTCTCTGTTCAAGGCTATCTTTCACAGCCACAGTTTCTGTGTCAGGATGATTTTCCTTTGACAGTAAACCTTCTTCATTGCTTGACATCTCATCAGAGTCAGCCTGTAACTTTGCAGAACTATCAGATAAAGGTCTAGCACTAGCATATTCCTCTTGATAAGTATTCTCTGTAAATTCTCTGGCTGCTTCCTCTAATGCAGATGGTGGCCTCCTTGGGGAGTACTCTAGCATGGCTCTTGTGGTGTCACAAGGACTATGAGAAACTGAGTTTAGGGATGATGCCCCAGAGCTAAGTGATAACATATATTTCAGCCACTCTTCATCAGTACACTCATGCAATGACTCATAATCGTTAACTTTTTCTTCAAGAATGATTTCATCTGCATGCTTTTGTTCCTGGCATGACTCAGATGTACCATGATGACATGATTCTCTCTCTTCATCATTTCTTGTGGGGCCAATACCTCCACAAATTTCAACACCATGTAAGTACTGGAAAGCCTTGGAAGGGTCCCACCACTTCTCTTTGAATGACTGAAAGAATTCCTCCATGTAAAACGTAATGGCAACAAGCTTGAGAAAGTAGAATTGTTCAGGACCTGCTCCACAGGTATTTGAATTGATGACTAATCCAATAATCTCACACTGGGTCCAATTGAAAACCAGTAAAATAGAAACAATCAAGTCTTGATTGTATGTGATAATATGATTGCCTGAAATATAAAAAAAAATTCAAATCAGATATTAATTCAAGTGAAGGAATCTTTACCTCAAAATAATACAGAGAAAACTGAAAAAAATCCAAGAAACCCAAGAAAAATCAATGTCCCTCAAAAGACTGTTTTAAAAATCGCACACCCGCTTTGCAGTCGTCTGATTATGTTAATAATTTGTAAGATTTCAGACCAACTTGGACTCCACTTGGTCCTATTACCATTATTGATTAAACATACTGGTAGGCAGCTAGGGGATGATTTGGACCTGACAAGTATGAGAGATGATTAGAACGCAAAAATCTGAGAAAAAACAGCACCCATGAATTTACATGTTCCATTCAACACACTCTAAACATTGTTTAGTCTCTGTAATGGCATGTTAAATGGACTAAAGGTACTTTCAACATACAGAATTCCAACCAGATTGCATTCCATCAGAGTACAGCAGGGCACATAAAGCAACACCATTCAAGTTTATGTGGAACACAAATATAATGTTTTGGCGTTAAAAACTGGGTTTCCATAACCAGCTAATTCCTCTTCAAACACAAATTGGTCTCAGTAGCTTTCCACAAGGCTACAGTGTATGTCATAGGTTGGATACACAGTTCTACCTACAGGAAACAGGTTGACATTTTCTGAAAACTGTCTAATAATTTGATCCAATTTGCAAGCAGCACAAGTAATATCCCAGAAAAATCAAAGTTAAGACAAAAATGGAATTAACCTTGGTGATAAACTCTCTTTAGCATCAGGAGACTGTTCCACATTGACTATTATCATATCTTTTCCCATCAAGTTGTAATTCATGATCCAACTGTGAAATGACCCAAAAAAAGACAGTTTTATCACCGCCACACATTCAAAAAGCTTCTGTTCAAATGTATTCTAAAAATAATTGCATGCCTACTGAAGTTTAGAATAAAATGAGCATCTAAAAGCAGAAGTTTCAGGGTCAGTAGCCACCAAAATCTTAAAGTTTTATGACTCATTGTTTCTATTAAGGGTCACAGTGTCCCAAAATACTTGTATATGCAAAATGCAGTCATACATGACTGGCTAATTGTATTTCAGCATGCATGAAATAGAGTTCTCAATGGATTATTTTGGATTATAGTGTTCACCTATGTGATTCAGAAACAACATCATTGTTTGGGTTGCTCATCAAGACAGATTATAAGGATCTCAAGGCGAATAAAGCGAAGTAAACATCACCAATGACTCACACAACTCATTCGCGTCTACAGCCAATTTTGTTCATTGGCGATGTTAACGTCGCTTTATTCGCCTTGAGATCCTTATTCACTTTGTTGCAAATAAAAAGAATTGCTTTTTACTAAAGATCTTTTCTGGAAAGCCAAGTTTTTGTTAAAAAATCTGAGCGATTAACATGATGAGTCTTTACAGTGTTGTTGTCACACAATAACTCGTTCGCGTCTGAAGCGGATGTAGTCATTGTGTTGTTTACTTTACTTTATTCGCCTTGAGATCCTTATAAACTTTGTTGCAAATAAAAAGAATTGCTTTTTACTAAAGATCTTATCTAGAAAGCCAAGTTTTCTTAAAAAATCTGACCGATTGTCATGATGAGTCTTTACAGTGTTGTTGTCACACAATAATTATCTTGTTCGCGTTTGAAGCTGTTAGAGTCATTGGTGATGTTTATTTCCCTTTATTCGCCTTGAGATCCTTATAAACTTTGTTGCAAATAAAAAGAAATTCTTTTTACTAAAGATCTTGTCTAGAAAGCCAAGTTTTCGTCAAAAAATCTGAGCGATTGACATGATGAGTCTACGGTGTTGTTGTCGCACAATAACTCGTTCGCGTCTTAAGCTGTTATAGTCATTGGTGATGTTAACCAACGTTTAAGCTTCTGTTAGATGTTCACCAATGTTCACCAGTGTTTTTTTACTAAATATCGTTTAATTTTCTGTTTAACTTTTAATAAGTTGTATTGGATTGACGATCAACTCGCCGACATCTCTACTCGATTTTATACGTCGGTGAGTTGGCGTCGGCGAGTTGGTCCGTCGGTGAGTTGACTGGTTACCATCTTAACGACACCCAAAACTGGGTACAAAGCTTACTGTTCAAAGAGAATGTGATTTGACCTTCTGAACTACCCAAGTCATTTACAACAACTATTACACATGCAGAAATACTTGGAGTTAAGTCATTCATTGCATGTCATGCGAGTTGCCAATGCAAAAAGAAGATCACTCTGAAAAAATCCACAGTTAACTTGTAATGCATGTGGCCTTAAGCAGAAAGTGAAGTCAACCACTGAAAAGTGTTACATTCAGTTGTACATAGAAGTCAAGTAACAATAATACTTTTTCAAGACATCATCAAAAACCTGCTGATATCCCAAAGGAAACAAGATCTGTCCATGAAGGAAGATAATATAACATCTTTCTTCCTTGAGCTTCCAACATTGAGCAGCATGACATACAATAACAAGACAAAAATTGTAGAGGCAATTTTGATCTTAAGTCTAAGGACAATGAAAACACCAACAATACAAACACTTGATCAACAACAATTGCAGATACAGCAAGACAAAAATGTTAAACATTCTTTTTAATCCTACTCCTAAAATTGATGTTTATTGTGAAAGAGAAATAGTTATTTTTTTCCAAGTGTAAGGTTGATAGTTGCTGGTAGTTAACCATAGATACTGCTTTTTTTTTCAAACATTATTCCCAAACTTACATGTTGCTTCTGGAAAATAAAAACTTGTTTCATTAAGGATGTAGTTTCTCCAGTAATTTGCCACTGCAGAAACTACAAGGGGAATACAAGAAGTGCAGTGCTTTTGTTAGCCATTACACCTGAAATCACCCTGACACCATAATCATTTAGAACTGTTTCTTGTTGTTTTAGGGGCTTTTTGGGGAGAAAATCCAAAACAAACTCTGTCAAATTCAACAATCTCTCATCACCAATATAATGCATTCTTTTTCATATATGCAGCTACCCCTATTAACATAACAGAATATTTGATAAATATTCTACTTCCATATTTTCCCCTTGCACATCTTTACAGTAGTCAGTAATAGCCTACTAGCTGCCTATTTTCATTATATTGCCAGCAGTGCCCTTGGGCAATGTGAAGGCATTACACAAGGCTTCTCTCGCGCTCAATTGTAGGTTCCTCCTGGCGGTTCAAATTATGAGGGCCTAATTTTACCAACAGGTTCATAATCCCTCTCATTATGTTCACCTTCCATCAAGGCCTCAAAATTCAAATAATCAGACCTGACATAGATCTGCTTTCACTAGAACTACCATCTGCTATATTTACTTTGCTAAATGTGTATACGTGTGATGTAAAGGTCACATGATCACAATCAAAGCTTTGACAGCAGATGACTCACGAAGCTGTATTTAGGACAGTTTTCCCGTCAAAAATAGGCACAAAGAGGCATTCGAAGCACCTTGTATCTGTTTCAATGTGTTATCTGTGACATTTAGACGGTATTCCGAAAAAGTGACCTTTTAACCGTCAGTTACCCCTTAAATTTCCCTCAGACGCATTTTTTTATGATGCTTTATACAAAACGTAGCTCGATAAAACATCAATCTTGATCACAAACAAGTTGGATTAATACACTCACAAGTACCGGTACACTTCTGTGTTTCTTTTAAACACAAAAATCATGTCTTTAGGAGGCACGCAATACGCAAAAGAGGCGCATGAACTGCATTGTACACAGACAAAGGGATCTTTCATGTTCAAAAAAAATATCACTGGCAAATCATCAAGCACAGGAACCAGAAAGAATACATACGCACCACAAAATATGTGTATTGGTCTTTCCCAGTGATATAACAATAATGTGATTGAACAATTCCACCAGTTGATTTACAGAATTAAAAATTTCAGATCACGTTGAGGCCTGTCCACCTTAAAGTTAATAGAAGCGGTGGAAAAAGAGAAAAAATTCGACAAACTCACTTACGATAGCTTGAAAACACCACTGGCTAAAGCTTTTGCCCTCTAATCGTTGTATTAAGAGGACCTACAGCGTTTACATCGAAAATTTGGTACATTACGATGTCCAAAAACGTAAGGAAGGAGAGAACTTGACATAGGGATGAAAATTGATTGCGCGTGCGCCAGAGAACCGTTGTACGAAACGCGGGCTCACTAAGATTTGTGGGAAGGCGTTAAGATAAGATAATAATAAGGTTTAAATTCTAATTTTTGAAAAGAAGAAAACAATTTCAAAAAATTGAGTGGGTTTAGAAATTGTTCTTGCGCCGAAAGAAGGTCTTTCGTGCAAAGTTTCAATAAGTTGCGAACCGGCTCAATTAGCGACAATTGCTGGCAAATTTTACAGTATTATGTTGGCTTTTTTCGGTTACTCTTTCGTCCGTTCAAGCAAAATGTTGGTTGCCGGTATAAAAAAGGATCAGTAAAGAAGTTTGTTACGGCCATTCTATGTCCCTACCACCAGGTTTGGTGAGAGCTGCGAACTTGCCTGAAGAAACTCCAGTTTGTTTACGACATCGAGCAGCGATCGAAGAGCAAGACAATCGCTGCTCATCGCCGTTTCCCGACCGACACTCGCATGGCTAGAAATCGAGGTCATTCAGCGCAACACGAGCTGCGTTTCACCTTACTGCGTCTGCGCATCCCACTAAAATCAAACATCGAAAGATGCCGGAAATTACCTTTTACAAAAGCGCTCGATAGATAAATCCCCAACTTCCATTTTAAAAATGAATCAAATGGAGGTGTATCAGACATTTTGCAGCGCTGATAACTTCTTTAGAGATATTGCTTGAGAAGCTGTTAAAATCTTGTCCAAGTAAGAAGCTTACCATTTTGTTTTTCAAGTGAAATTATTTTCGCGCCAATGTTGCAATCTATGTCAATCTTTGAGCCTTCAGTAGCTACCCTGTAGCGGTATTGTCCATAACAGGCTAGGTTACTATGTTTTTACAAAATGGCGATCGAAGAGTTCTTTGATATGTTTTCAGATCTTATAATTTTAGTTTTTGAGTCAACGTCTCTACTGGGAACAAGACCCATAAGAAAAAATTTTTTTTTGACTTTTGGAAGTCGTTTGGCAGCGTGGATTCACACTTTTATGACTTCAAATAGCCTTCAATTAGAAGGTCGGCTTTCGAAGAGATCGAACAGACGTGGGCAATTGATAAAACAACCCTTGTTGTGGCTGCAGGAGAAGCTTTAGCTGACCAACATAAGCCATTTTAAGACACTTAGGGCACCAAAAAGGTTTCAAGTTTCTTCGACTGGGGCAGATCGTAGCGAAATCGTAAGAGTTTGAGAACGGAGGTGAGTGATCTGGACACTCTTCTAATACATTTCAGACGAGGGCATTTTTAGTACACGCTTCCAGAAAATTACTGTGTCTGATTTTCAAAATTTTCCCACAGAAAGCCTTATGCAGCCGCCATATTTAAACTTCGTGATTTGTCTTTTATGCGCATGCTTAGCCGCCATGATGTCTTCGATTTCTAGCCATGAATAAAATAACCACTATTCCTATAAGCCTTTTGGGAATTTTGGACATAAAAGGAAGAAAGATAACGAGATACCAACCAGGGAACGGGTGGTACAACGCATGTAAAATAAAATTTTACAGAAATTCCGAAGGAGACTGTGGTAGGGCGATAGCAAAGCGAGGGAAGGTACATCTACCATAGTGACACACTTCGCAAAATTCATCATATCATTCGCACCTATGTTCTCGTTACCAAATTGTGATTTTTCCCCACGTAGAAGGGTGATATAGAGAACATTTTGAAAGAAAGAGGGGAAGAATAATTATTTAAATTGTACAAACAGG